TTCGTGTACCTGAAAAACATGGGTTTTAGTATTTTGGCCCGTTTTCCATAGCTTTTATTGGTGAAAATTTCTGAAACAGTGTGCTAGATTCAGAATTGTGTGGGCTATCAGAATCACGCATGAAAAACTTTCCAGCTTCGAATTTCGTAGAAGAAAAATAGACAACAAAGGTGGGCCAATAATTTTTGGAGCCACTGTATGAGTTATATTTGAAGGAAATATTTTTCTTTGATCGTATTTCAATAAACTAAAAATATAATTAATTTGTTTCATAATATAATCCTTCGTCTTAAAATATGTTGATGCCATATATATAGAATATGAAAGGAAAAACTATATTTGCAAAACATCGTATTGAATTTCTTTCAATTTATATTTATAAGTATTTCTCAAATTCTCGAAATTGAACTCAGTGAAAATAAGTTCAGATACTTTGTTCAGAAAAAAAAACTAGATTAATTTTCATAGAATGACATAGGATATAGATGATAACTAATACTATTCCCGATCTAATTACTTTTCTACACTATTTCTTTGTTGTCGATACCCCCGCGAACTTCCATTAAGCATCAAAATGTATTCTGTTGAAGAGTCTTATGGAAAAGGCAGAGAAAAATGAGTAGGTATGACAGTGGTTAAATAACTTGGTTATAAAATAAAAGAAAAAAAGTGTAAAAGGCAGCTTAGTATTCATTTTAATTTAGAAAAGATATAGAAGGTGAAATATGTCCGTCCTTAAAGCAGCTATTCAATTAGCTTTTTGGGGACCAATTGTCCTCTTCATTATTGGCGTTCCATCAGCCATTTTAAATGCAATTATTTTTATTGGACTGAAAACATTTCGACAATCTTCTAGTTCTTATTATATTGTTAGTCAATCATTATTCGATTTTGGTGCCTTATTAATTCTTCTTCTGCAAAGTATTCCATCAACATCAGCATCTGTCTCTTCAATATCATGCAAGTTGATTATTTTCTTTAGTCAAGTAATAGCACCATGTGCATTGAGTTTTCTTGGTTTGGCTGGATTTGATCGTTGGGCATGCACATCAAGATCGGCTAGAATATGTCAATTAAGTTCAACTCATATAGCTTGTCGTATTATTTCAATTACCGTTCTATTCTGGACACTGGTCAGCATACCTTTTCTTATTTTTTTCGATTTGGTTCCACCTTCTTTTACTTGTGGAGTCACAAATGTTCTTTTTTCAAAAATTTCCAATTTTTTTCTGGCTCCTATATTGTGTGTTGTTTTTCCTCTTATTGTTTTAATGATATTTAGGATTCTTACATATCGAAATATTCATCTTATAACAGTTATTAATGCTCAACAACAATCTGTTCGAACTCGTCTATCAATGTAGGAACAACAAATAACGCGAATGATGATTATTCAAATAGTATTAAGTATTTTATGTACACTTCCTCGATGTATCTTGGTGATCTATACAATAGCAACAATTCAGCAAAGTGCAACGAGAAGTTTAAATCAAATTTACATTGAATATCTATTGGCTCAGGGTGACTGAATTTATTTTATGCCTAGAGTTTGCTTCGTCATTTTATATATATTTTCTTTCTTCATCACGTTTTCGACAGACAATCAAAATGTATCTGAAACGTTTTCTACATTTGGAAAATAATCAACTGATCCCTATCAATAGTTTTGCTCCAAGGGTGTCAGTTACTGGTACAAAAAGTCTTAACAGACAAAATTGAATTGTCTATTGAATTCTATCATCCTTACCTTTATCCTCAATTTTTGATTGAAATATTTCTTCAGATGCGAATATCGTTTTAATAAAGAATTTTCTTCATTGTCATTCGTTCATGGAAGGTTTATATTTTCTTTTAATAAAAACACATCAAACAAATGTTTGCAAATGACATTAAAAGATGAAATAACATGTAATGCAAAATTAATTGCACAAATGTTGACCTTTATTTCTCTTCAATACAAGGGTGCTAAAAAATAATTTTTTTTACCAGAAGATAGAGAATTTTTTTCTCTTTCGAATCGTATATAATTTATTTTTATCACACGTCTATAAACGAAACGACACAGCAGACAAGATAAGCATCGTCAAAACGAGTCCGTACTTTTTATATAATTCAAAACAACAGCAGAAAATGTCGATCTCTATATCTCTTTGATAAATACATTATAAAAGGAATATTTTATTATCAGTTGATAGGAAATTTTCTCCTCTTTCGAACTGTATAAGATTTATATTTGTCATGCATTCGTAAATAAAATGAAGTGAGTAAAAGGAGAAGGGTGTGGGTGTGGATGTAGAAGAGATCGACACCCACATCGACACCCTCACTAAGGTGTGGAATCGGGCTCTGAGCGAATCCGTCCGGATTTTATGAAAAATCATCATTGGTTTCCATAGGAAAAAACTAGAAATTACCGATTTTCTGGTGTAAGCCCTGTTGGAATCGCACGAATAAGGTGTGGAATCGGTCTCAGAGCGAATCCATTCCTGAAATACTCGAATCCTGACCTAAGATATCCTACGTTGATATAAGAACAAGTTCATACATATGTATATGACAATGGAAAAACTATTTGAAGAGAGAAAGAGCAATTCCTCTTTGCAAGTTTAAGCTAAAAATCGTTTGTACTATGTGAGATACAAAATTTGGAATGAATCAGTTATTACGACTAATTGAACTGTGAAAAGATGAGTATATATACAATTAGAATAAATCGATGTTAATGATTTTCGCTGTCATATACAGATGCGAACAAATTCATGGATATATAAAAGTAAAATATGGACCACAATTCTATTGGCTCACACACGTCAGGATAAGTTACACACAATATTGAATTTGACGAGTGTGTGTAACTTATCTTAACCGCTCTTTTTATCATAAAAAAAATATCTATTTGAAGATTATGAAATGTGTTGTGTCTGACACAACAGAGTAAATTTGATTATCTTTGTCTAGATTAAACACGTATTTTCTTAAAATTCATGTTTATCAACTGCTTTTTAATTACCAGAAAAAAAAATAACGACATTAATTCCTCAATCATTATTATTTAGCAGATTTTTTTGTGACATTTCCATTTTTGAACTATCTGAGCTGCTTGATCTTCACTTTTATCTTCATCTTCCAACAAATCATAACTTTCTTCAGACGATAGATTCGATATATTATTCAATTATTTTTGAAATTGAACTCTCATTTCATCCATAACTGAACATTTCGCATAACCATCAGTGGCCGCCATTGATAGAGCGCTATAATTAATTCTTCATTCGTTTTGAACGTAGATTTTTTGAAGCAAAAAATTAATTCAATCGTTGAGCTTTTCTTCTTTCATCTACTCCTTCTAGTTCAGCTTGACGCATTTCACATCAAACAATTCAATGAGATTTCTTCTCGAACATCACCAATGATTACTTTTGCTAAAAGTTGAGCATTCATCATTGAAATATATCGACCACCTGTAGTGTAAACTGAGGCCATGAAAAAATCAAGATGAAAAACCAAAATCCAAGTGTATAAAGTGCGATACGTGAATGTTTTAAAATTTTATTCTTGAAACATTATTAATTATGGAAAACTAATGATTAATAACATTTGTCAGTATAATGACAATTAGATAGAATTTTATTTAAAAAAAATAATATGATCAATTTTGTTCTTTTTTTGTCTTTAAAGAAAAATAATTTTTAATATGAAACTGATGCTATTGAGAGTGAGAATGTTTCACAGCTGTTTCTTAATTAGGTACTAGACTCGGGCAAATCATTGGCTTGCTGTGGTTCATCAAGTGACGACTCAGTCGCAGATGCTCTCCTCTCATAACTTTGTGGTGCATTGATGTGATTTTCATCGCTCGGTGATTCCGTAGTGGTGGTTTCACGAGTTACTGGTCCATCTATTAATCAAACATATATTTACATAGACTTAGTGTTGTATCTTTTCTTGATACATACCTTGAGTGGTGTTTACCGGTTGAGCAGAATGGGAAAATTCTGAGAAAGAAAATTATTTTAAAAATTACGTTTATAAGATGAAATTTAATTTACCGAGTATCAAAGGATATGTGTAAAGAAGTTCCCAGCGGATAAAACATTCAAATGCTTTATGTGCTGAATCTAAATTCGAGTTTTGTTTATGAAAATCATTTCGAGAGATTTTCTTACCGAATGTTTGTAATGGTGGAGGAAAACAACTGTAATCAATTCGAGGTAAAAATAAAATATTTGCATAAAAACTTGTCAATAAACGAAATACAGATGAGATAATACCAATAAAAGAAGCTATTCAAGTAAATAATATTGTAAATCTTTATGAAATAAAAACAGAAAAATAAACTCACTGAAAATCAAATTTAAATATAACAAAATGGAATAAGGTCTGTTGAGTATGATGCTACTTTGACGTTGTAAAGGAGAAACAACACTGGTCTCATCTTGTAAAGCAGGACCAGTAGTAGTCTGACGTGGGAAATCAGAATCGGCAGTAATCTGATTTGGTGGAGAAAAACTAGGGCCGATTTCAATTTGTGAAGTAGAATCAACGTTGCCCTGATCTTGTGAAGAAGAAACAACATTAGTTTGAACTTGTAATCGATAACTGTTAAAAAGTCTATTAATTAGAAAATTGATTATCTTGTGTAAACCATATACACAAATAATTGAAGCAATAGAAATAAGTATCCATTTGAATGAAGATATATGTGTGACTATCGCTTTTCCTCCAACTATAGTGAATAAAAACGAATGAAAACAAATAATATAACCGCCAAGTAAATATCTTAAAATAAAAGCTGGATATTGAACACTTCTGGGAATAATTTCACGCTTTTCACAAAGAAAAACTATCTCGGAATTATCAAAATCTGTACCATACAAAGTTCTGACACGATCTTTATAATTTTGGATGCTGTGCAATAATTGAAGTCCATAAATAACCGTCGTTATCATCGCACTGATTATTACTTCTGTTTGAAATGATTGTTCTTCAATTTCTATGAAAACAAAAATCGATTAACAATTCAATTAATTATCTAATTTCAATGAACATACTGATATTTAATATACGTTCTACTAATTGTATGAGATAGATCATATAGATTGTTCTATCTGTTGTATAAAAAAATATCAGATTAAATGTAAGATGAATGAGAAAGACATATGCAATTGTATATGTACAAACAACAATGCTAGTAAATCGAAAATCTTCTTCCCATGTGTATATTCCAGTAATAGATTTTCGAATTCTCGAGCAACATCCTTCTTCATTGAGATTCTCACTTTGAGCAATATTATTTCCCCCAGAAGTAATTCGTTTCTTCGATTTTCGTACGAAAGTCTTCTGTTCTTTGTCCTCTCGAAAAGAATATTGATCGATTTTTCTTAATGGTACATCCCAAATACTTCTATTTCTTTCTCGAGCAATATAAATGGAATCGTAGAACACTCGTACAGTCAATTCTCCACAAATATATCCAATTAAACAATAATATAATGTATTTTTCGCTATACAATATACGAAGGACCATAAGTGCATATTTTTATAAATTTCTGTTTGATTGAATAATGAAATTTTGTTTGTAAATGTTAACCAATATAAATGTAAATTTTCCCGAAACATCATATGAACAAGATTTAGAATAAAATAAACCGATGCGAGAATACGCATACGTAAGTCTTGAAATCGTAACGAAGCAAGAATGGGACAGTATCGAAATCTGAAATGATTTCAAAAACAAAATCAATCATTCAATTGATTATCAAAAGGAAATCTTACGTGTTAATAAGAATAAATACCATGCGTATAAAGATTTTGACAAATACACCGGATTCTAATGCATTTTGAACAGCGATTCGTGTCTCATCAAGAACTTCTAAGATTTCAAACATTTGAATTGAAACAATGACCACTGTTTTGTACCGATCAGTTATATAAAATGGTTTGATCGGTTCGATGATTCCTCAAAGGAAAATTCTTTTAGTGCGAAATACAAATGCATGAAAAACAAATGAAATACTCGAATGATGTTTGTCATCACTTTGAGGTTTTTTGTTGAAAATGATCAGAATAACACTTATTCCAATGGAAAAAATAAAGAAAATTATATTATCTAATCGAAAAATAGTATTTCGTTCATATTGATTGTTCATATAAATATTATCATTGGTGACAGAATCGAGTGTTGATACATTTGTATGATTTGTCGAAGATATTAGGAGATAACGAACGACTGGATTACCGATAAGTATCAAAAAGAAAACCAGTGACACTATAGAAACGAAAATTGAACGAGTACGCTTTTCATCTGGTTCTAATTCGAAGAATGTTGCTTGTCGAATACCATTGGTCACACCTTCAAATTGCTGATTAATTTTCTCATTTTTTCCATTAGTGTTCGATGGTGTCAATCGCTTAATAACTTTCCAGAGTAAATTTCGAATGGGTTCACTAAGTAGTATAGGCGCAAGAATAACAATTGGAATAGCAATCAAGAGTTGAATGTTTTTGAGTGAAACTGAATCACAATAAGTTCCATTGTATGGAAATGAACATAAACATTTAAAATCTGTTTGACTATTAATACAACGTCCATGTTTACCACATTTGATATTATTCACACAACGATCAAGTACTAATTTAGAGAGACAATTAGAAATGAAAAGATTATCTCAATTGAACTTACAATATTGACACAAATGTGCATATGCTACTTTCACGTTGATATTACTCAATGAACAAATAGATCTGTTGAAATTCAACTTCACAGTCAATATTAAAACAGTCGAATTCTCATCAACGACATTCCATTGAAATTTATCACAGGGTTTACGAAGAGAACTAATGTTTTGAAATTGTTCATCATTGGATCTATGTACACGTAATAATCGTTCAGATGATCGGGTCTTTTCTTTGTAATTCTTGATATTATTTTCAAGAATCTTTTTCCCAAATTTGTTCCATTGATTACCATTATTATTTGACGATAACATATTGATGATTTTTGCACCTAATTAAATCTATTTATCCTTGACATGATATTTTATCTTTACCTTTCATCAAATCAGGAGCGACTTCAATTAGTAAACTATCCAGATTATTCTTGATCACAACATGTGCAGCATAAAGCAACTCCATTGATTGTTTAATGTACATCAATCGTGAAGTATTCAAATGAAGAAGATCGCAGGTGTAATTGGCTTGTGCAACAGTTGATATATATTCGGATAGCATGTAGCACGAGTAGTTAAGTTGCGTCCATCCTTTTGGACAACGTAATTGATCAACTAAAATAAATCAACAAAGTGAAAACAAAAAACAATATAATCTATTTTTTCTCAGTACTGGTAGTCTCGTTGATTTTATCAATGTTTGAGGAAATTTTATCTAAGATTGATATTGATTCACTAGACTGCAACTTCTTTTCATTATTTCTTACTGCATTTGATGACTGTTGTAAAACAACAACAGTAATAAAAGGAATTACAAGCAGAAGAAAAATGGCAAAATAATTCATCTTGAGTGCATATAAATATCTTCTAAATATAAAAAAATACGCTTATGAATAAAAAGTCTATTAATTCTAAGATCACTTCAATTTGATAGTGTGATTCGTTAACAAATATTTACTACTTGTATGATGCGGTATTTTGTTCTTGATTCAAGATAAAAAATGACGTGTTCTTTTTATTAGTGAATCGCGTTGCGCTGAAAGAACAGAAAAAAGAATTTGTTGAGTGTGCGCAGACTAAATTTCGGTTTTTTTAGAGATTGCATTTCGATTGGCTTTTATCGACGTCAAATCATCGATGTTATTTCTGCAGCGAAAAGCCAAAAAAATTGAAATGATTGAAATCACAATGACACAAAAAACAAGAAGAAAAAAAGTCTTGTTTATAAGCTTCATCGATATTTTTGCTGTTAATTTTAATTGGTATTAGTTGAAAATTTAATTAGGAGATGAAATAATATCATGCTATGTTTTTTCTTTCATTGACTCATCACACTCACACACATCAATATTCTCACATTCTGGATCAAATAACATCTTACTTCGATGAGAAACAAAAAATTTAAATATAAGTCTGACGACGTCATCATAAGATTAGAAAGTCAAGAGACGAATATGAAAGAATACTCTGAAAAAAAAGGAGTTTAACAGAACCTTTTTTGTGGGTTCTGCTGTTTGATGCTGTACGAAACTCTATCTGAATGGTTGTGTCCAAAAAATGGTTTTGCAGGAAACTAGAAAAACTATTCACATTTATGTACAGAAAATAATTCAGCCGCTCGATAACGTTTATACATTAGGACGTCTTATGGAAAAACTAATCGTTCTATCCATCTAAGGGTTCTGGATGTCATTTTAAATCCTATTTTCACTTTCAAAAACTAATTCCCTCGTTTTACAACGAATACTTTCTGAATCTTGAATTAGCTTCCTATGATCAAAATTGTTGTATATAAAAGTTGATGCAAAATATAGAGTTCGTCTAGTGATCAAATTGATGTGCAATCTAAATGGAAAAAAAGATGTAGTAATCGGCAAAATCAGCGTTACGGAATTTCATCTTTTTTTCATAGTTCCAATGGAGATACTTTGAGAATGCGAATAGTACTAAAATCGTTCTGTGACTCAAGTGCATCAGTTCTAATCTTAGAACGAAACTACATCAAAAATTATCTCTATTTTAAGGCCAAAAATGAAGAAAAACAGAATTGATCAAAAATCTTCTTTTTAGATGCTTTTTAGACGATTAGTAGGGTTTATATCATTCACAAACAGAGCATCTCAGAGCTACAGACATGCTCCGTGACCTATCAACAGCATATTTTTAATTTTAGGACTGATTTTCTTTATTTTTCTATGTTAAAAACAAGTAGCACTCATCCTACAGGGATTCGCTGACCCTCTTCTGAAAGAAGATCCACAGTCAGTCTTGAAAGAAATAATTTTAAACAAGTAACTGGCTTTGGAGATGACAACTTGTGATTAAAGATCTAACTTATTTCGAAGTTTACATTAGAAAAAACATCTTTTATTCAAGATATGAAAGAAAAAAGATATTGTTTGGCTCTCTACCAGTGATGGAATTCGGTTCGTTTTTTGTGGAACCAAACCGAACCGAATCGGTCCCATCACTGCTCTCTACCTATAACCTTTTTGGATTGAGATTTAAAGCAATGACAATGAGAGCATGATTGTGAATGGTAACACTCGCCTTTAATCGCTTCTACTGGGAAAAATTCGTCTACTCTACTCCTCACTGAAAATTTTTTTATTTTATTTGTACTTACCCTTAGTGGGAAAAAGTTACTTGATGTGCTATGAAACAAAAATATAAAAACGCAGAGAGAAAAAAGAATTTTCTCTTTTCAATAATAAAAGCAACTCTTTTCATCACTTCATACAGTTATGGCCTTGTTTTGAATCTACATAGACTTCGTTTCAGATTGGAAGGAAGCAAAAAAAACGTCGATTCACTGCCTTTTTCTATCGAGACAGTGCCTCTCTTACCCTCACTTTCAACACTCTCGACGAGCAAATAATAAAAAAAGTTGAGTGTATTTCATGTTGCAACTATCAATATTGACATAAATTGACGTTAACCTCTTGGCTACCGCTGTCTTCAGATTGAAGACAAGATAGAGGAAAGAGAATATTCTTTTGCGTTCTGTCAAATGTTTCACCAGTTAAATACGCTAGAGAGAGTGATTTTCCGATTTTTCTAATCTATCGCACAGAACGAAAGAATTTGCCGGTATTCAAGAGGGTGTGGGTGTGGGTGTGTGGGTGTAGGTGTAGGTGTGGGTGAGGGTGTGGGGGTGGGTGTAGGTGTGGGTGTAGGTGTGGGTACGGATGTGGGTGTGAGTATGGGTTTGTGTCTTCTCTTCATCACCTACCCACCTCCACGCTCACACCCACCTCCCACCCCCACCCCCACACCCACACCCACACCACACTGTAAAAAAAAATCGTAGAATACTAAACCCTAGTACTTTAGGAAAATTTTCCTAAACCCTTAAAGGGTTTATGCTGGTGTGTTAAACCCTTAAAGGGTTTTTGTGCGAAAGGGTTTCCGAAAAAAAGGGTATTTAAAAATAAAAAGGGTTTATGACTAACGAAAAAGGGTTTATTGTTCTACCCTTTCATGAAAAGGGTTTATTATTCTACGGCCAAGGGTTTATTGTTCTACTTTTTATAAAAAGGGTTAATTATTCTACGGCTAAGGGTTTATTGCGCTACCCTTTCATGAAAATGGTTTATGATTCTACGGATAAGGGTTTATTGTTCTACTCTTTCATGACAAGGGTTTATTATTCTACGGATAAGGGTTTATTGTTCTACTCTTTCATGACAAGGGTTT